TACATACTGATAATTGTTTTTAATATATTTTTATTACATTGTTATAAATAAATATTATGAAAATATTTTTCAGATTCTAATATGTTGTGTAATTATTGTACATATTGTGTAGCTGAATCTAGTTCATTGACGATAAAATTGACTTGTCATATGGACACTATATAGAAATTGAGACATTGTATACACGTTGACACATTGTATAGAGAAATTGTATATGTACACACATTATGATGTAAGACATTAAATGAAAGTCATTAGATTTATATTATAGATTTAAGATTTTCAAGAGGTTGATATTAAATAACAAATTATGTATACCATTATAAACTTTTAAATCTTTAGGCTTAATGTTGTGAATAAACAAAAATATTGGTTTATATATTGACGTGGAGGATTGATTGATTGATTGACTTGTTTGATTTTATTGTTTTGATTTATTTGTGTCTGAAAGTTGAGCTGTGGGAATTTTATCACGAGTGTCACTATTTTGTAATTTTAGTTTACAATCTTAATTATCAATAAGAATATTTCTCTTATACTTTTATATTTCTCTTATATTTATATGGCTCTACTTTTTAATGTAGTCTATAAAAATATATATACATATATAATTTTTTTTTTATCATTATAGGAAAGTGATACAGTTACAAAATATAAATAAAACTATTTTTAAAGTTATTCATGTGAATTAATTGCCATCTGTTATAGTTAATTATTATGAACGCAAAAAATATGACAGGGCTCATGAACAATTCAATTGGATGGATATTTTGCTAAGCTATTTTATCAAAGCCTATTAAATTTGAATAATTCAAAAAACATTTTCCTTGTATTGATAAAATGAAGAAGTAGCAGTTTTTGGTAAGGTAGGTTCAGCGGCGGTCAAAAATAATGATTACACATATGCACATCAAATTTTAGTAAGCACACATTTTGTTTACATTTCTATGGGTTCCGTATCAAGATATAGTGTTTAACCGTTAGACTGAAACGCGGCGCTTACGCGCTTCGATATCATATATAAAAATTTTAATTATTAAAAAAAACAAAACGAATTTTTTTTCCAAAAATTCTAATTTCTCAAAAATATAATTTTTTCAGTTTTCAAAAAAATTAAAATTTTAAATTATGGCACGGAACGTTTCAGCAATTTGCATGGCAAGTTATAGTAATCGCAAAAAAATCGAAAATGAAAATGTTTATATATCTTTACGTTTCAAAGGTTTCTGAACGTTTCGACATACCTTATAAAAAATGAATGTATGTGTGTGTGCGGATACAAATTTTTTTCGACGATTTTGGGAACACCGATCAACTGATTTGAAAAAGCATTCGATTCATATTGATAAGGAGACGTGCTGATTAGTTTTTGGCATAGGCAGGTCTGGCCGTTCCAAAGAGACGGGGCAAAAAGTGCCAAAAACGGTAACTCAGTTTTTAAGAGAACGGAGCATCCGATTTTAATAATTCAAAATCATTTTTCTTGTATGGACAAGGTGAAGAACTAATTAAATTTTTGGGAAGGCAGGTCCAGCAGTTTCAAAGATGTAGTAAAAAATGCCATTTGGTGGTTAAAAATGATCATTAGACATATGCACATCAAATTATCGGATATTTTTATGAAGATTTTAATAATATGTATCAATTTTGTTTACATTTTTATGAGTTCGCAACATCGTTTGTTCGTTAGACGGCGACGCGGCGCTTACGCGCTTCGATGTTTTGTCTCTATGCAGCTAAAGTGTGCTTGCTTTGAAAAAAAGTTCAAAAATTCCAAAATTAAAATTTTTTCATAAATTTGATTTCAAAGTTAAAAAAAAAATAATTAATCATTTTTGAAAAACTTAATTTTTGATACGGGAAGTTCTAGCAATTTGCCTTAAGGCATGATGCCATACACAACTAGTTTTTGATTATACAGTAGAACCTCGTTTATCCGGACTTCGGTTGTACGGATTTGCGATTATCCGGACTAACAACCGCAACGAATTTCTATGTATGTACATAACTACACTTCGAATTTTTGCATGATTACTGCTCCATTGTAGTATATGTATGTAATGAAATCTAAGAAAATATATATGTACATACATAAGGAAGTTTCAATTTCTCAATAAACATTAATTTTCGTTGATCTTCATCCAAAAATGAAATTTCATTACCTTTTCTTTTATCCAAACAATGACAAAAAAACGTTTTTTAGCTGTTTTAGTGGTGTTACCCTTTCTTGGAAAGAATATACTTTGTGTCGGGTGGAATTAAATTCATCGTTCAATTGTGCAATATTGAATCCTATTTGGATGACCTTAGATTCAGTAATAATCTTTTCGCACGGTAGTTTCGTGTAGCACGTATAAGTTTAATGAATCACAATAAATATAAATACATAGGTTGAAAATCCCTGTAGTGAAGCATGCGCTATTTTAGTCAGAGTATCCCAAACACACTTTTGCGATTCTGCGTCATGGTGTTGACATTTGGCTTGAGGCCAGTTATTGTTTCGGTAGCATCATTGACTAACGTGGATCTCGATAGAAGTACCTATATAAAAGCTAGTTAAATACCTAAAATTCTTTCTTCAGAGCTAAATCGTCGCGATATGTAGTCGACTTTGCCTGTCAATACGGATAATTCTTAAAAGACGCAATTACACTTGTCATCTCAGCCTTTATTTGTCAGTGATAAAAAACGCGGGAAATTAATTTATTGTTTCCGGCCGCGATTGTTCCGGTTAAATTTCTTTAAAAATTGTTGACAAGTTTTGTTTATGTCAGTTCATCAAAAAACATGAGTTGGAGACATATGGTATGACATTGAATTTTGTTTATTTGATTTTGTAATTTGTGCTCTTTTAACGTTGAAATTATGTTTGAGAAATAATTGGTAAATTCTAGTCATTAAAAAAAATAATTAGGATTGTTTATACGTGATTTACGAATTAATTGCTCAATATGTATAAAATGTTTTAACCATAATTGTGTCATTTAATTCTACGTATATTTATATATGTATATATATATATATATATATATATATATATATAATATGTATTCATAATTATGAAGTAAAAATAGTTATAATCATAAATCGAATATTATTAGATATTGTGCTTTGATTTGTTTTTAAGGAATTTATGCCAATATTTTTTATATTTTTTATAACCAAGAGTCCTTTCACTTATTTAAAGTCATAGCTAGTTTGACTCAAACAAACTAATATATCCGTTTAATATAATATTAAAAATTTATAATTTGATGTAACATGCGTACGTTATGATTATATTCAACAAATATATTTTATTTTATAAAACATATTATTTTATTTATTATTATTCTAAACAGCAATCAGAATACAATATCCTATGAGCTATTTGATTCAATTCATTCACTCAATAAACACACATATGAAATTATTGGGCTAAAGTAGAAAAAACTATTAATCTAATCTAAATTGAATTGGTAACCATCGATGACACGTAAATTTTTATTCAAAGTGATATATATGACAAATGCAACAGATATGATATCGTAAATGTTGAAAGATGTATAGTTGAGTTGTCAACAAACAACATGGAAGCATATTGAGTCATGGTGGTCACGTGTACGAATGATTTATTTTGTTTGATTTAGAATTGCAGTTGGAGAGCTGATAATTATTTCAAAATATTTCTTTTAATTATTATAATAATTAGATAATTTTTTATTGAACAGCAGAATATAGAAACCAATTGTCGACTGTCTCATGGTATAGGTCTCTGAAATATAGTAATTCAAATTACTATTTGACCGTTTTGAAGCCAAGAGTTTCGACCATTATTCTTGCAAGCATTAAAGGTTTCAAATTATTGATGAACTCATTTTTTTCACTCATTATTATTTTTATTTAAAAATTTGACGGCAAACTATCCATAAGCGCAAAATAGATTACTTTACACAGAAGAGCTAATTATCAATTAGCTAATTAATTAGTAATAAAGTGAAATGTTTTTCAATAAACTGAAGTATATATATATTGAAGTATATAGCCCATTCGTCGAATTTAAAAATATTAAGGACCTTACAATTTAAAAATTCTAATTTTTATAGTATCTTATACTAATATTTGCCGTTTTCTTAAAAGTAATTATTGTTTTTTTACATAGCAGTCCATACCAAAATGTATGTACTTGTACATCAATATGAATAATGTTAATACCTACACTTGAATTTTAAATTATACTGGAAAACCAGACAGACACATCACAACATATAACATATATCAAACGAACAAATATCTAAATGTGTTTATTGATCGTATATTAAAAAAATGCACTACTTGTAGACGTAGAAATAAATGATTTTTCTGCTTAATAACGTACGACTAAAACATTGATTTTCCAAATTTATATATAACTAGCTGTAAGTGGAATTTTGTCTTAAGGCAATTAGGGCATCTCGTGCCTTAAGGCAAATTGCTGGAACTTCCCGTACCAAAAATTATTATTTTTTTTAAAAACGATTAACATTTTTGAAAAAAAATTACTTCGAAAAAATAAGATTTTTGAGAAACTATAAATTTGACAAAAAAATTACTTTTTTTTGAAAAAAAAAATTGAAAAAAAAGATTTTAATTTTTTTTTTTTTTAAATCTTTTTTTTGAAAAAAAAAAATGTTTTCTTTATTTTGACATATGTTGGAAGATCTGAACTTTTTTTCAAAGCAATCGTACTGCTTTAAATGCATAGAGACAAAACATAAAGCGCGTAAGCGCCGCGTCGCTGTCTAGCGGGTAAACATTGGTACGGAACCCATAGGAATGTAAACAAAATTTATACTTATTGTTAAAATCTCTATAAAATATCTGATAATTTGATGTGCATATGTCTAATGATCATTTTTGACCGCCAAATGTCATTTTTTTTTACTTTTTTCGTTATATCTCCGAAACCGCTAAACCTGCCCTTATAAAAATTTGATCAAGTCTTCATCTTGTCAATACAAGTAAAATGTTTTTTGAATTAT